AGGTTTGCATGGCGATAAATACCTGTAGTTGAAGGATCCGTTTGTCACGTTCTAACTGCAAAAGCTTGTCTTTGGTAGGATTGTTGAGTGGACAGTTTGAAAATAGACAACTTTGAGATTGAGCAATATCCATTAGTGGGATAGGTGATAACCATATCTGTTGCTGGAGGAGTCTTTGTACAGAGAATAGCCAAGGTATCCGTTAAGGTAATATAGAAGGTCCTGAACTGGCTAACAGATTAGAGGCTCTGATGACGACTATCCTTCGGGAACTAAATGGTGACTTCTTATCTCGGGAAGAACTAAACGGCAACTGACTCTTCGGCCGTTAATTATTCTATAAGCATGATATCACCCAGCCAAGAGGTCAGCAGGTTACAGGAATGCGTCATTTTTTCCGTCAAGAAAGTGTAAGTGGAGATTCTTTCAGGTAGTAGATGACAACAATTATTGACGACATCGATAATCGATTTTTGTTAAAATTCAGACTATCACAATAATAATAATAATAATCACTTATATCTGGTAAAAACACAAAATAATTAAATATTATGCAAAAAAGATAAGCAACAAATCATTACAACTAGTCAATGCCAGATTAAACTCCAAGGTGAAAGGAATTCAAAGTACTCTTACAGCACAGAGCGACAATAGTACCCTCTGAAATAAAATTCAAGAAAAAATTTATAAAAATGAGAGATAAAATAAAACATATTCAACATATTAATGAAAGAAGTAAGAAATTGGGTATAATTAATCATGCACATAAAGTTATTGAAACTGAATTTAAATAGTCAATACAATACCTTCACTCATTCTATAATTTTTATATATGAAACATTCTTAAATTTCATTTTAATTTTTAATTTCTAATGAAAGAACTTTTATTCAGTAACACATATGAGTCCAATAATTCATCTTTATAGAATTTATCAAAGCTTCAGAATTTAATTTAATCATACGAATTTTTAATGTAAAATTAAATAGAATATTTTCAAAGTTTAAAATCTTGAATAGTTAATGAAGAATTTTAATTAGCTGCATAATATAATTAATTTGTTTCGTTACTTTTAAATTACATAAAATAAGTTATATAAATTAAATATTTTAGTTTAGATATATTATACTAATTTTTGCAATAGAAAAGTCAATATAAGTTAATTGTTTTGTAGATTCTTACTTTAAACTCTTTACTTCACATTTTGTTTGAATAAAATCAAGTCGTAGTGTCTTTGGATAAAAAGCGTATCGGGCATATCGTGCTTTATGACTTACAAAAAAGAATATAATGCCGTACAAGCAGTAAAAACAATTGTAACGTGTTATGGGAAAAGATGTTTGTAAACTTTGAACATGTCAAATGTGGTTTAAAAGTTTTATTCAGGAAATTTTTAACTGAAGGATACAAAACATATCGGGCACCCAAAAGCTATCGACAAAGAAAAATTACAGGAATAATTTGTTAAAAATTGATGAATAATATACAGTACAGTATATATAACCAAGCGCACCAAAAATAAAGTGAAAAAAGCACTGCAAACATACACGTGTAACACGAGATAAGTTGGAAACACAACAGGTTACTTTTATGCTTCGAGCATGTTTTTTGTTTTTTTTTTTCGATAAGCACACGGTTCAAACTTCAAAGCAACATTCAAACTCAGAGATGAATTTTTGTTGAATTTTGCATTCAAACTCCGAAGTATGAGGTACCACTGTACGATATTTTATCGAAGAGGAATTTAATGTACGTACATCACAAAATTTTAAATAACGTATCATTTTCATTTTCCGTAAAATTATTATTATTAGCTGAACTCGACACAGTTTTAAAGAAGTTATTCTGATTAGTTCGGTTAATGGCTTGTCTAAAATTTTTTACAGTCCTTTCAGGCCAGCAGTTTAACGTAGAAGAAAGAAAATGACATCATTTTGGATGTCACTAGATGCGATAATCATTCGTTAAAAACAAAGAAAGTAATAATTTATTAATCTTAGATTTAAAATAGATATTTAACAAAGCGCTAAAATATGTAGAACGTTATGTCATTGCAGCAATATAGACCATAAAGTTTATAATATCTTCACGTGTTACTGTTTCAGAGTAAAACACCACCTTTTTCTTGCTGGTAGTAATCGTGTCCTAGGGAAGGTAAACTCAAGGTTCCAAAATCCCTATGATTGGAACCATTAAAAGAAAAGAAGTTATTATACCATTATTTCCTGTTATAAGATATAAATAATTTTATAAAAGGAAGTAATAATGGTATAATGTTTAAATTGCCTGTAAAGCCTGTAATAGGCATGCAAACTTGAGATTTTTGAGCTGAAAATGTGTCTGGAAAAAAAGATGGCATTCAGTATTTTTGTTTTTTAATATTAGCATTGAGAGAAGCGTGCGCATGTCGTTTGGAGTTTAGTAAGTTTACCTTTCACGATAAATATAACAATGGCCGGTATTTTCCTTAAGGTTGTAGATTTAACAAACATGTACCGTTATTATCTGTAGTAAAACACTTCAGATATGTGGTGTAGTGGTAAAGTTTACACAAAGTCAAAGCAGAGAGCTAACACATCTGTCTTTCCTTCACACAATTTTGTAACTGATTGTTGTTTGTTGTAAAATTTATTTGAATGTCTTTTATGAACCATTAACTAAGCAGCGGCAACATTTAGATTTTTATCCTTAAGTCTTGCTCTTAAATTTTTTATTCTTTATTCTATATTTTTATACTTAAGCATCGCTCAAGGGCACATAGTTGCAACCCCCTTCCAAATAACCCCACCAGTAAAAACTAAAACTAATTATTGGTAATGTACGCGAGCTCGCTACGTGACAATTTATATTTGTGATCGTCCAGGCAAAAATAGCTGCTCAATGTGACTTAAATTGTTTCACGCGTGCCAAAAAAATGATCGGATGTTTGTAGAGAGCCACGCGAATGGAATATAGATACAACTTTTATTTTGACGAGTGTATGGATTAATATGGACAGACACAAAATTTTGTTGTATTAATTCATTGAAATTTTTATTGAAAAGCTTCAAACGAAACTCATATTTAATAACCTTTTCCAGTTCAGGATATTTTTTGGCAAACAGACTGTCTTATCTTAACGTTCAAAAAGCTTTCTAAATATTTTACAGTTCTGGAAGTGTAAAGTTTTTATTGGAAAGAATTCAATATGTTTTTTTCTATAAGAGAACAGTTTCAGTGTGGGTCGTAGACCTCTTTACGCTCTGAGATCACTTAAGTGGTCTAGGATATGTTGTTAGTTTGTTTAGACTAGTCCCATAGTGGGTCATAATATTATATTATTCCCTTGTGAGGGTCATAAAATTACATGATAAATGCATTCTTTTATTGTGATAAAATGCTTGTTTTTGATAACATTATGTTTGCTATTACACTTTCCCTAACCATCTTTTGGAGATTTTCCAATAAAAGAACAGTTAAACATTGAACTTATCCTGTTCATTTTTGGTTTCCCGTCATATAATTTCAATGCTAGCAATAACAATTTTTATTTGTAACTGTTTTGTAATGTGTTTACCTACTGTGTTGATGTGAGACACCTCCTAGTTGAGCCATCTTTGCCTTTTGTTTCTTCTATGAATGAAGGTTAGCTTTATGTTTCTTCCTCTACAAAGCAAGTTTATCATTTTCACTCCACAGATCACTAATTGTATCACTTGTTAACCGAAACACTCAACACAAATTAGATCCAGTCTCGAAACTGGAATGAAAACTAAAATATAGGTTATCAATAGCTGTTGCCGTCTGGAAAGTCTATTGTAACTAAAGGGAAAAACAATACAAATGCAAGACAGACAGTGTTTTTGTGATCATTTATTTATTTTCTGAATGATATTTAATATTAAAAAGTATTTAAAATATAGAATTACATTTTATTTATAATTTTGTTAACTGTTTCCGCCCTGTGGGCACTAAGAGGGCCTCTTTTTGCAAGCCTGTTATGGGTTTGGCCAGGCTGACAATGGTGCGGTCGGTTGGTGAGGGACGAGACCCTACATATCCGGATGGACCACCCCCGAAAAATTCCTGGGGATTTTTTGACCCGTCTGGATTCGATCCCGGGTTCCCCAGAGCGGCGGGCTGCCACCTTGATTGCTTGGCCAATTGGCGGAATTACTGTTAACACATAGGTATAAACAAAATTTGTGATTTCATTTTCATAGTTTTAACACCAAGGCTTACATGCTAATGCTAAGTTCACTAAATAAAGAACAAAGATCCAAAATTACAACATTTTAACTTGTAGAGAGAGAAATAATGCCTTAATAGTACAGGGTATCCCACGTAAAACTATCCCCACCCACCAGTTCAATAGAACAGGGCCATTTTATACAACAAAATGTTGGTTATGAAGGTTGCTATAATGTTTTCAAAGATTACAGTTATTTACTCAATTGGCAAATGGATCTGGCTTTGCAGAAGCAAAAACTTTTGAAAAAATTGTCAAAATAATATCTTAATAACAGCTTTAATTAAGATTACTGCTTTAATTACAGGTGTTATAAGTTGTTTAGATCCACTGAATCTAAACAAATTATTCATTAGAAACCGAATTGCAAATTATGCTTTGTTTATATATTAAGTTATGGCAATGCAACACTTGGGCGATCTGCCTAGGGGATGCCTTCCAAGAGGTCTTTTTAAGAGAAACTGGCCCCTATTTAGGCATTACAGACGTGGAGAAAGCCCGGAAAACTCCACGTAGCCAGCCCGTCCGAGCGAGGTGCGAATCCGCAACCGAACTCCCAGTGTTCAGGGTACGAAAACCATTTGGCCACTGGTGGGCCAAGCAAATTATGGAAAGCATTTAATTTAGTTTGGAAGAAACAATAAACTCAATAGATAATAAAATTATTGTATTGTTATATTAATTTAAGAAGGAAATTTTAGATTGCTCAAATATTCAGTATAGATAAATTTTATATTTATATTTTTACATTGATAATTTTTTTTTTCTTTACAGATACTATCAGGTATCTTTCACTTCATGATAATAAGTATATCAGATATTTTCCCGGGCATACTAAAAAGTAAGTTTTAAATTATGCTTTGGCATAATGTACAGTACTTTTATTACTAATGATTGCGAGTAAAAATATATTAATGCGTTTATTATTGAAATGTTGTTGTTAATTTTTCTAATCTACATTAGAAACGAATTTGGAATGTAAATGATTCTGTCTATAATTAATCAATACAAATATTTCTTTGAAGATTTAATTAAAATCAACTTTTTTAATCAGATCAATTTGTTTTATTACTTGTTCTAGTTTCAAGAAATAAATATAACAAAAAATAATAATAATAATTTAATTTTAGAGTTGTTACATTATGCATGTCACCAGTAGATGACACTTTTCTTTCTGGATCTTTGGATAAAACAATGAGGTTATGGGATTTGAGATCTCCAAATTGTCAGGTTTGTATTGTTTAATTTATTAATATAAGAATCCTTTTGCGGCAAGTGCATAAAATCTAGGAAAAGATTATAAAAATAAAATTTTTATATCTATAGGGTTTAATGCATTTAACTGGAAGACCCGTGGCAAATTTCGATCCAGAAGGTCTTATATTTGCGGTTGGCGTTAATTCCGAAGCTATTAAATTATACGATTTGAGATCTTTTGATAAAGTATGTATAATTTTCTTGGTATTATTTAAAATTTTAATTACTTGCATTAAATATTTACTTGAAATCGTTTATAGGGTCCATTTAATACATTCCGTTTACCTCAAGACAAAGATTGTGACTGGACAGGACTTAAATTTGGCCCTGATGGAAAAACAATTCTGATTTACACAAATGGGCAAATTTTACATTTAATTGATGCATTTCATGGAACTCCACTTCAAACATTTATGGTAGGTATTTATATTGTTAAGAGGTTACTTTGATTAAGAAATTAATTTAAGGACATTTTTTTTTATTAATTCATATAAATATCTACTTAAACTGGAATTACACTACCAAATTTTTCCCTGTTTGTACAGGTTTTAATATGTATATATTTAAAAATTTTTAAACTTTAACAGGTAAATGTCACGGTTACATTCATTTTATAGTATAAATAAAGTTTTTTTTATTATATTTATATTATTTTTATAGTAAAATCACTTTTATTACAGAAACATTTTATTATTATATAACTAGGTTTAATGTAAATTAATCCAAAATGATTAAAACTAAAGATGGGAATATTCAAATGCAGAATTCAGAATTGTTCGATTGTAAGAAGTTATTGCTCTTCAAGAATTTGTGCTAGAATACTCACTAATACTAGTACTTCTTGGATGTGATCCTAACGAGCTTGTAATAAACCAATTTGAGAACCAAGAACTAGTGTTTCATTCTGCCTTTGGAAATTCTATAGTAATACAGAGACCAAGTTAACCACAAATTAACTAGTCTGCAATCTGACTTTTTGAGGAATTTCAAGCCTCGAATTAATTGTTAACTTCAAACTCTGTAATTAATCAACTTGTTCTCAAATACTTGGTACTAATTAGATACTATTTTGTATTCGTTCAAAAGAAAATTAGCAACCTTGTGTTGTTTTATTCTCATTGTTTTCAATGAATTACATTTGTTACTTGTTCTTCTCTGAAACTCGTTCAAATCTTGAATTCTTCTCAATTCTTGAAAATTGATTTTACCCTTGTTAATTCCACCAAAGACTAATTTTAATAAAAGTTGTATATATATAGTATCACATCACCTTTGTTTCTCTGAAAAGATTTAAACTCATTCTCAGAAATTGTTTGTCATGCTTTGGATCATAATACCTAGAGGCAATTTTATCTATTTATTTATTTATTTATACACAAGTGTAGTCTTTGTTAGACAGATTTCTGACTTATAACTTAGTAAATTTTAACTTAGAAAGTTGTTTCATTTAGGCAGATTTCTGTTTTATTCAAGTTTTACTGTATATACATATACAAATGTTATTATATAGATACAGCGTAACCTGTGTAAACTGGACTTGTAGAGTACCGAATATTTTTTCTGGTTGGCAGGTTTCCATCTTGGACAGGCGTTACTGTATATATATACAAGTATTTGTAAAATTATGACTCATTGAATAAATTATTTATAAATATGGTAGTATTTTCTAAATGAGTCAAATACAAGAAATAACTACAGGGTGTCCCGAAAAATGTACTTGCTTTTTGACTGGCCATTACTAATGTATTTAAGTTTTGATTTATGTGTTTATTGACATAGATACAAGCCTAATAAGTTAAAGAAAATTTAATGGCATTATAGAAAATGTTAGGAGTTTACTAGGCTAGGAGAAAAGACTAGTCTCTTCACTGATAAAGATTGAGTACGTATTTTTGGGATATAGATTTGTAGATGATATAGTTATAAATTGATTAAATAGGAAAAAATATATACTGTCTGATTATTTCAGTAACTTGGTGAAAGAAGTTTATCGAAAATAATGAAGTATTTTCAATTTCATTTAACTTTGACATAATTTCAAGCTGTTATATATAAATAGTAATAGAGATTAAAGTGTAAATATTAAACAGTTTTCTTTGTTAACGAGTTGTTCCTTTGTTTGTAGTCAACAGAATGCGTAGTACTTAGTTTCACAATCTTTAATTTAGAGTGCGGAATTTCTTAAATTTCTGTACACTGAGATTAGGGATAAAGATTCTCATGTTGTATTTCATAGTTTAATAAATCTTGATTAATATCTGGTACACTCTTCAATGTTCATTCTAATTTTAAATATATTCTTTAAGTTTGTATCTGTCATTTTAAGTAAATGATCATTTTTTAAAAAACAAAAAATCTAAAAAACTATTTCATTTTAATTCACCGTATATTTTATTATAATACAAACACACAATTTGAGGAAAAAGGATTTGATTCATATTTATTTTGTATGAATTTTGCAATAGAAAGGAATCACTTCAGAAGTTTATTAATCAGCTCATATTCTTCCTAATTTATGTAAATGCTATATTTGTTTGTTTATATATATATTCATATACACTCTTGAGCGTAACGAACTGTAAACTCAACAGCCATAAATTATTTTTAATAGCTAAATTTTTTTTCATCTCATTATATCATTTCTATAAATAAGTTAAAGTAATTTATTAATGTAATAACTAAGTAAATATTTTATACTATATATAATAAATAATTTAATTTTGTATTTTTTCCCCTCTTTAAATCTAAAATAATGTGTCATTTTAATAAAAAGAAATTATATTATGTAGGTTTTTATCATAATTTGTTATATTGAAACGATTCTATCTATTTATAGGGACACATAAACAATAAGGGATTATCTCTGGAAGCATCTTATACACCAGATTCTCAATTTGTAATAAGTGGTAAGTTATTATGATTTGAAAATAGTCTTTAGTAAAAATATTCTTATTCTTGAATTGTCTAATAGAGCATTGATCAACTTGTGGTCTGTGATAACAGGACAGGTAGTCTACAGGCGGACTTAAATTAATAAAGATTAAAACTTTGTTCAATGACGATTCACTTTTAATAGTTATATAAACAATTAATTAAACTGGAAATATGTATTCAAAACATACTGCACATTTATAACTTAATAAATCTAAAAGTACGTCCCAAATGTTAATTTTTTTAAACCTATATGGGTAATATCAAGTCTCCATAACTTAGTGGTCTGTAGAATTTTTTCAGGCATTTTACAGATCCTTTAAAAAGGTCGAGAAATGCTGGTCTAATGTAACTTGACTTTTATAGTATAATGTGCCATGAAATAAAATACAGCTGTCCCTTGATAGTCCGACATTTTGTAATCTGACATGCTCGGTAGTCCAACGCACCTCCCGTCAAGGTACCCGTCCCCGTTACTTGTCTGCTTGCACAGAAGCATGTCGCGATGTGAATCTCCCCACCCAATTCTTACACGATGACACACATTTCGTGTTTTCCGTGAGCAGTTCTGTTCGAACAGTTGGAGTAGGGAATATTGTAGGCTACTGCTAGCAAAACAATGCCAAATATGTAATCACTTTCGGTAATCCAACACCCCTTTGGTCCCATACCTGTCGGATTATCAAGGGACAGCTGTAATATATTTTGTAGACAAATAATAATAAACAGTAATTAAAATTTTAAATAAGGTTTTATTTTTATCAATACTTGTATACATCTAATTTCATTTTACCAATTTTCACATGTTTAATATATGTTTAGAATAAGTCATTAAGTTGTCTTAGCACCAGCATTGAACTGAATTATAATTAATTAATTTTGAATTATCACATGTTTGGTTCAATACACAAATTTGTTTATTCTATTTGAATTCAAATCTATGAATTCCATTATAAGTTCTAGCCCACCATTGGCCGAATGGAGAAAACCGCCGAGCACTGGTAGTCCTGGGTACGCACCTCGCCAACAGACTGGTCATGTGAAGTTTTTTGGGTTTTATTCACGTTAGTAACACTTAAATAGGGGTTAAATTTCTCATAGAAGTATCCTTCTAGAGGCAACCTGTGTGTTGTGTCGCCTTAACAAAATAAATCGATATAAGTTTTATATGACATATCCTGAAGATAGTTGCTTAGATTACCAAAAACGTTATAGTTAAACAATAATTTTTGCTGGTAAAGGTTAAAAGGTAGTTAAAATATCAACAATTCTTTCATTTCAATCATAAATTTATTAAACTATGAAAATTTTAGTAACAATTTTTAAATTATTTGTATATAAAAAATGAAAATCTGAAATTTCAAGAAGTGTTTGTTTCCTACCAACATAGTCATTAAACTTGGATATGAATAAATATAATCTGATAAAAACTGAGGTAGTTTCTATTAAATTTTATTTATTAACACAATATTGTTTAAAAACGATTATTTAGGTTCTACCGACGGACGAATTCACGTGTGGAATACGGAAACAGGAATTAAAACAGCTTTGTTAAATTGCGATCATACTGGTCCCGTGCAATGCATTCAGTTTAATCCAAAGTATATGATGTTGGCATCCGCATGTACAAATATGGTATGTTTATTATAATTGTAATAATTATATTGCGTCAATTCTTTTTTTTTGTTATTTAAAAAGACTTTTTTTTTCGGTTTGTTTGGTTTTTTCTAGGCTTTTTGGCTTCCGACAATTGAAGAAGTCTTCTAAATTTTACATCACAGGAAATTTCACCACAAGCAAAATGAATTTTATACAAAAGTGGATGAACTGGTTCAGGAAAGACTTTTATTTTTACAAAAATTCATTGATATGTACATAATTGTCATTTGTGAAGTATCATTTCTTTAATAATTATATTTCACATTTGTTGTCATAATTCTTCCATTTGAATATCATCATCGATGCACAATATTATTTGGAATTCATTACATTCACGTACATTATATTTAAAAGCGGCCCTTGCTTACATTCGAGATATCGGAGAGCGAGGTCGGCCCATGTATTTAATGGTAAGATTTAATAATCGAAAGTTTTAATCTTCGAGTATTAAAATTATCCGAAAAATTGAATTCAATAAATTATTTTCCTAAGATTTGTTTTAATTTTTGTTTTTCGTAACTAAAATGCTTGACGTAAAAACTGTAAGAAATGTTTGAATTAAGGGATGGAAGCTTAAAATTTATTGTCTAAGAAAAACATTTTAATTCCATTTGTCTTCCTCTCATGTTATTACAATTATTGGCCATTTTCTGACAAATTAGTAAATGTAATTTATTGGTACGACCACAAATAATTCTTTTAAAAAAAATTTTTTTTATAAACTTTTAAATTTCTTGAAATTCTCCTAGCATGGCCAATTTTTGACACACAAATACATCTTCACGCATATTTAAAATAACTACCCAAAATTCAATGCCGTCAGTCCGATCTTTTACACTGAAAGTGTAAATCGGGAGTGAAAGCGCACTAAAACGTATTTTAAAAAAATATATCGTTGAAGACGACAATAATTAATCAAAAAATTCACTCGTTAAAAAACACCGAGAGATTAAAATTACGACTTCGGATTCGTCGGCATTTGGATTTTCGGTCCATTCGAACTGTCGTCGTTTTGTTCTTTACGTTATTGTATAAATGTTTTTTCCCCTTCTAAAATATGGAAATCATAGTCGACGTAATAATTTTACATTATTATTTTGTTTTATCATTCATATTTTATTTGTTTTTTTTGTAAAAATGTTAGTTAGGTATCAAAGTATGTCATTACAACATACAATTTCTATATGTCTATACAACACACATTTATGTGGATGTATTTTAACAATATTGAAGGGGAAAAACTGCAATTGTTTTCATTACCTATTATTAATAGATAATGTAAAAAAATGCAATATTTTGTATAAGTTCCTTTTCTTTTTATATATATATATATAGANTTATATATAGTGTATATTGTTCATTAGAATAAATTTATCCTTACAGAGTATTATTAACTTTGCCGAGATTTTTAATTAATTGTACTTAAAAAACTGTAACGTTTTAAACAAATTCAACTGATTGCATTATAACTAAAATTTTTAATTTTTATGTAGTTTTTTTACGTGTACAAATGAATAAATATTGTTGAAATAGACTATAGTAACTTGATATAAATATTTATAACTTTGAAGCATAAAATGTCCCCCTGCAAAAGCAATTAACATCACAATAATAAACTATGCAGTCGAGCAAAAACTTAAAATTTACGACATATAGATTCATCCGTTTTAAATGTTTTACCATTTCTACATATAATAATAATAAATTATAGAATTTTCATGACTTTAACCTCACAAATAATCATTTTTACATATTTCTAATCCAATTTCTTCAAAACTGTTGAATTGATAATTTAATTATAATGTAAATTTTGATAAATTGTAGGAAAAAGAATTGAAAGATGGAATTTTTCTCGCATGCGACGATGCAAGTAAATGGAACGTCCCGGTATAGCGGCAAATGTGCATTTACCGATATGCGTGGATTTTTGTATGTCGTGCGCCATAGGAGATTGTGCAGAGAAGAATCGGGGTAAGTGTACAATTACGGTAATCGCACAAAATTCGTGCATGTGATAGAATTACTTTCGACTGATGCAGGCCCAGCTGCGTTCATTAATCGAAAGTGATTCGACCAAACAAATTCTTTGCAATTAATTTCCGTCTGACGACATTTCGGGTCCGGAACGCCACGCACTCGTCCCAATGCTTCTCCGTACGATCTCCCGTGGCACATGACTTACGACAAACCCTGTATTATAGAACGAATATGAGAATAGTTTTAGATACGGTACGAGCCGTGCTAGCTTGTATCGGAACGAAACGTTTTTTAATTGGTCTTCATATTTGAAATTTGATGCACAGATAACAAATTGTAGGTCGTTAATTGTTGCTAAATGATATCTGTTGAATTTGGTTTCTACTTTACTGTCTTTTTATATTTCTATGTATCAAATTATTTTATTTCTAAGCGAATTAATAAAAATTATATCTACCTATGTGTAAAGGTACTTTTATGTTAGTGGTTTAGCTGTATCAGTTTAATATGTAATCGATATAAATCCTCAGTTGGTGCCCCGGACCAAGCTTGGCCTGCAAATTCATTTGACGCGCCACTTATAAATGATATTTACTAAAAGTAAGGCCGTGTCTATGGAATACAGTACAGTGTTTTAGGTAGGAGGACCACAAACTTATTTGCAGTTTGTTTATCGATCGAAAGTTTTGGCACCGCCGTGTAAACCGATATCGTTACACGTAGGATCCAGATGATAATTTTTGGCAGATTTTAAAATGTAAACACTTAAAATACATGTTTCAGTAGAATGATTTCTATTATTCAATTTATTAATATCTTATATATAATGTTAAAAAGAGAACAATTCTCTTAGTAGGTGAAGTATTAAAATAATTAATTCTTTTAATATTCACTGCTACATAATTTTGCTTCTAGTCTGTTATTGTGACGCATTACGATTGTTGCCGATATGATGTGTAAGTGGGATTTTAACTGCATTATACGGCAGTCCAAAATCTTTTCTGTAATGATACAATAAGAAAAAAGTCTGCCACAAAAAATAATAATTTATTATTATTATTCAACCGATGTAAAAAGAAACTACCAATCTTTTTTTTTTTTTTACTAAAGGTTTTAACACACACAAATTCTTCAAGTGTTAATTTTGATTATTATTTGAACTATCCTTGTGTTATTATAATGTGTGCTGATAGGTACGTGCCGTATTTTTGTGCCCATAACCCGCATGTTATCCGTGTTTAAGACGATTTTAAATCACAATTGCAAACTTTCACCGGGTTATACGCACAAAAGTACAGTAGTAATTCGTTTCTTATTACTGTTATAAATTGTCACTAACACTACTTAAGGTCTTAATACCTATTCTATGCTCAAGGCATTCTTTGATCTTTTGAGAAAATTATGCCCCCTTTTCTGCAAGGTAACTACGTATAGGCGAGCAATCGTCCGTCGTTACTCGAAAGAAGAAAAGAAGCACAAATATCGTCGTAAACAGTTCTAAATAAAAGTGCCTTCGACCTATTAAATTTAAAAATTTTACTTCGAAGATATTGGCGTGCGAGATTATATTTACGTAAATGCAAAAGGGAAACAATTGGATGTAGTCGAATTACTGCTGCAATGTACAAAATATTAGTCATGGCAATAAAAGCAAATTGTAATCTAACTTGTGAAGCAATGCGTATTGTCGTTCTCTTACCGAACGACGATACAAATGTAAAAATATATTGAAAAATAAAACTGTACTGTGTATAATTAATTGTGATTAGAATTATTTGCAAAAGATTCCCTCTGAATTAAAGTAATTTATACAAGTATAATTAGTTTCTTACGTCCAAGAGTCCAACAATAGAGAAGCAGGTAGAGTTTCGTTCCCAAAAAAGTAAAATCTCTTGTTAAGGTAGTAAATGTTATAATGCATAGAATATTATATTTTGTATAATCTATGGTTTTAAATAAATATGCTGTGTTTTTAATGTTATCAAAATTAAAATTGGTAGAAAGAAAGAGGGCTCAAATTGATTTATCCATTAGCCAAAAACGTACCAGAGTAGGCATACGAAAAGCAGTTTAGCAGCATAAAATTATCATTAAGGAAGACCGAGTTGCCCAAAAGTCGAGATCTGTCGGTACATTATAAATGTACATTTTGATACTAACGATCGGATTTACATTACGTGCAGTTCTGTCTATTTCGTCACATTGCGTAGTAGCACGATATTAGTATACAACTCAAGGTTAAAACAATTTTTAAAATCCAACAGCGGAAACATTTGGTGGTGTCATCTGTTATGTTGTTTTATTTTAAAAAAAAAACTATGTTTTTAACCATAGGGATGAGTTTGCAACAATATCTAGATGTAAGCAGACGTGTAAATTTAATATTTGCAACTCTGTTTACTTTAGGAAAAATGTTTCTATACACGATTCGTTTTTGAATGAGCGACGCAAAACAAAATAATGTAAAACTAATAATTATATTTTTAATAACTATCAAAGTTCACAATCTGATAATACTATAATTTTAGGATCAAACTATTTTAAGACATCATCTGCAAATTAATTTTGCATTTCACTTTGCATATTTATATATATACACAGTTTTCAATTCATAAAGTTATCATGGCACAGATGTGAGAGAAAGATAGCACCCTTTTTTTTAGTATCTAATAGTTTAAAAATATATATGTATATATATTCCCATTACAGAAAAACTTAAATATGTACATTGCGAACGGTTAAGAATCAAACTTTGTACATTTTTGCTGTTTACCACAACCTAAAAGATGATTTTCTTTTTTAATATGAAAAAGAAAAAAGTAAAAGCATTATCGGGCTAACAATAAACTTTGAGTGCTTTATACATTATACGAATTTTATAAAAGTAGGAATCCTTTGGTCCGTTTAAACAACGCATTTTTTTGTCAATGTAACTTCGACGTGCTTAAGAGAAGTGTTCGAAAACGGCGAATCCTCCGACGGGAAACGGAAAGTTTCCGAAAATCGGAACGAAACTTCTCGTCTAACTTCCTAAGGATTTTTTGTCGTCTCTCCCTGTTTTTTTTTTTTTACATCTTGATTCATGGTAAGTTTTATATACAGTGGGACATCAAGAGTAAATAATTCATTTGTCTTTCATAAATAATAAAATATTGAATGTACAGTATAAGAAGTTTATGTACATACAGTCGGGTGCTAACATACGTAGTCCGTTCTTCGTTTAACGGATGCTTCGAAGATCAGGCGAACGATCTATAAAATGCCAGTTTGACTCGTTCTATCTGACGGCAGAGCCTTATCGCCGGCTCGGGCTTTAGTTCTAAAAACTCTTGCACTATCGGTAGATTTAGGAGGAGGAATGCTTGGCCGTCTACTTCCTTTGTCAAACGAGTTTAAACGATGTTAATTGATTTAAAAAAAAAACAAACTGATAAGAAAATTGTGATGGGTACTTACCTGTTCTTTTAATATTCTGGCTAACGGTGCACAATCTGTTGTTTTCAGGAATCTTACTACGTCGTCTACGTTCCAATTCAAGGGATTCGAATGTAACTGAAATGGCGTTTGACAGGTTTTAGCAATCTGTTCAATAATAAAATAATTTTGTGAAATTATTACTTTCGAAAAAATTATTAACAAGAAATGAAAAATTATAAAACGAATCATTAGCTCATAATATTACATAGAAAATTATTTTTCTATTGTTTATTACATAATATTGATTAATGCTGACCCATTGGTTTTCGACACTACTTGATATATTTGAATTATCAAGTTAATGATTTTATTTTATAGTAGGGATGCTACCTCCCCGATCACCTTCGGCTTTCCAGTTCGAACATTTTGCGACGCTCGCCGTGTACTTTTGTAACGTATAACAATTTAAGTAAACAATGTCGGCTTTACGTATTATTTGCAGTTATTTAATGTTAGATATAGATCTAACATTTGATAGAAGACAAAATACTAATCTTCTCCTAATCACTACTCCAAGTATTGATTAGAGCATTTTTGATTCATTTCATAACTTGTTATTAATTAACAAAAGCTTACATTTTGTATTTTTATCCCTGAGGAGTTGTTAGCTACGGGTGGGGAATCTTTGAGTTTTGTTTCGTCGTTTATCGATCTAATTTTAGAAGGCCTACCCAGTTTCGAATTGTTAATAATTGGCACAAAATGGTTTGCCGATTCCTGCTGTCGTCTCCAGTTCAGTCCGAAATTTGGTATCTTTGCTCCGCGAGTTACTATTGCAGATTTTGGAGCTACAAATTTCTGATATTTTCGTTTCAGTTTCATGGCCTGCTCGCCCGAAGTGATGCTCGGAGAAGTAGCTATTTCCTCTTGGCAGTTTTCCTTTTGAGCAATGGTTTCCGAACCACTGTTTGAGGCAGTCTGTCCGTCTAAAGACGGCGATATATTATTGCTGGGAAGGCACCAAAGACGTCGTTTTTTACGTTTTCTTCCGGGTCCTTTGCTTCCGTCTTCGTTCTTTGGTAATAGAGGCGGTCTACCGACCTTCTTTTGCTTCTTAGTGAAACTATGAACTGCGAAATAAATAAGCAAGATTTGCAATTTTTATCTTAAATTATAATTTAAATATAATATTTTCAACTTACTATATTGTGTTTTAGTTTGAGTATGACATTTTTCTGGACAGTCGTCTCCAACGTAGACGGGACCAAAGAGATAAGGACAACATTCCAATTTATTACAAATCTTTCGACAGAATTCTTCCACTTGATCGCTCCTTCGTACAATTTCGACGGCTGCTCTATACGTCTTTCCTTTATATCTATAAATTTTTAAAATTATTACTAATGCATTAGAAGAACAAATATATAAACTATCAAATATTTTTAACTTAGTTACGCACTTGGCTTTAAGTATTTGTTCTTGCATTCCGGCTTCCGATTTGCCTTTGAGCTCTAATTCGCTCAAGACACGGCTCGACTTATAAGCGATATTTATCAGCATTGTTAGAACTTCTTTCATGACCAAATTCACTGGACCGGGCCCAACGTGTTTTGGAAGCTCTGCCAAACGATTCTTTCCGAGGAACGGTCCAGAAAAGCACTTGTGGTTGAAATATATTATTGGACACCAAGCCTTAGCATTGTCTAGAACATAAAAAATTGTTAGTTTTTTTTTTATAACGAAATATAAATATAAACCTCAGTTAAATTACCTTTCTGAGTACTGCTTGTTTTTATGTCAACTGTGCCCCTAAAATACAAAAAAAAAAAAAAACATTGTTTTTAAATTAAGATGAAAATATTTATAAAATTTAATTATAATATTCATAAAAATTTGCTTTGATAAATAAAAACATACTGTATAATTCCATTATCATCTCTGAGATCGGATCTTGAATATAGAAAAAAAATTTTTTCACNTTGGAGTAGGGAATATTGTAGGCTACTGCTAGCAAAACAATGCCAAATATGTAATCACTTTCAGTAATCCAACACCCCTTTGGTCCCATACCTGTCGGATTATCAAGGGACAGCTGTAATATATTTTGTAGACAAATAATAATAAACAGTAATTAAAATTTTAAATAAGGTTTTATTTTTATCAATACTTGTATACATCTAATTTCATTTTACCAATTTTCACATGTTTAATATATGTTTAGAATAAGTCATTAAGTTGTCTTAGCACCAGCATTGAACTGAATTATAATTAATTAATTTTGAATTATCACATGTTTGGTTCAATACACAAATTTGTTTATTCTATTTGAATTCAAATCTATGAATTCCATTATAAGTTCTAGCCCACCATTGGCCGAATGGAGAAAACCGCCGAGCACTGGTAGTCCTGGGTACGCACCTCGCCAACAGACTGGTCATGTGAAGTTTTTTGGGTTTTATTCACGTTAGTAACACTTAAATAGGGGTTAAATTTCTCATAGAAGTATCCTTCTAGAGGCAACCTGTGTGTTGTGTCGCCTTAACAAAATAAATCGATATAAGTTTTATATGACATATCCTGAAGATAGTTGCTTAGATTACCAAAAACGTTATAGTTAAACAATAATTTTTGCTGGTAAAGGTTAAAAGGTAGTTAAAATATCAACAATTCTTTCATTTCAATCATAAATTTATTAAACTATGAAAATTTTAGTAACAATTTTTAAATTATTTGTATATAAAAAATGAAAATCTGAAATTTCAAGAAGTGTTTGTTTCCTACCAACATAGTCATTAAACTTGGATATGAATAAATATAATCTGATAAAAACTGAGGTAGTTTCTATTAAATTTTATTTATTAACACAATATTGTTTAAAAACGATTATTTAGGTTCTACCGACGGACGAATTCACGTGTGGAATACGGAAACAGGAATTAAAACAGCTTTGTTAAATTGCGATCATACTGGTCCCGTGCAATGCATTCAGTTTAATCCAAAGTATATGATGTTGGCATCCGCATGTACAAATATGGTATGTTTATTATAATTGTAATAATTATATTGCGTCAATTCTTTTTTTTTGTTATTTAAAAAGACTTTTTTTTTCGGTTTGTTTGGTTTTTTCTAGGCTTTTTGGCTTCCGACAATTGAAGAAGTCTTCTAAATTTTACATCACAGGAAATTTCACCACAAGCAAAATGAATTTTATACAAAAGTGGATGAACTGGTTCAGGAAAGACTTTTATTTTTACAAAAATTCATTGATATGTACATAATTGTCATTTGTGAAGTATCATTTCTTTAATAATTATATTTCACATTTGTTGTCATAATTCTTCCATTTGAATATCATCATCGATGCACAATATTATTTGGAATTCATTACATTCACGTACATTATATTTAAAAGCGGCCCTTGCTTACATTCGAGATATCGGAGAGCGAGGTCGGCCCATGTATTTAATGGTAAGATTTAATAATCGAAAGTTTTAATCTTCGAGTATTAAAATTATCCGAAAAATTGAATTCAATAAATTATTTTCCTAAGATTTGTTTTAATTTTTGTTTTTCGTAACTAAAATGCTTGACGTAAAAACTGTAAGAAATGTTTGAATTAAGGGATGGAAGCTTAAAATTTATTGTCTAAGAAAAACATTTTAATTCCATTTGTCTTCCTCTCATGTTATTACAATTATTGGCCATTTTCTGACAAATTAGTAAATGTAATTTATTGGTACGACCACAAATAATTCTTTTAAAAAAAATTTTTTTTATAAACTTTTAAATTTCTTGAAATTCTCCTAGCATGGCCAATTTTTGACACACAAATACATCTTCACGCATATTTAAAATAACTACCCAAAATTCAATGCCGTCAGTCCGATCTTTTACACTGAAAGTGTAAATCGGGAGTGAAAGCGCACTAAAACGTATTTTAAAAAAATATATCGTTGAAGACGACAATAATTAATCAAAAAATTCACTCGTTAAAAAACACCGAGAGATTAAAATTACGACTTCGGATTCGTCGGCATTTGGATTTTCGGTCCATTCGAACTGTCGTCGTTTTGTTCTTTACGTTATTGTATAAATGTTTTTTCCCCTTCTAAAATATGGAAATCATAGTCGACGTAATAATTTTACATTATTATTTTGTTTTATCATTCATATTTTATTTGTTTTTTTTGTAAAAATGTTAGTTAGGTATCAAAGTATGTCATTACAACATACAATTTCTATATGTCTATACAACACACATTTATGTGGATGTATTTTAACAATATTGAAGGGGAAAAACTGCAATTGTTTTCATTACCTATTATTAATAGATAATGTAAAAAAATGCAATATTTTGTATAAGTTCCTTTTCTTTTTATATATATATATATAGAAAATGTGTCTGGAAA